CCCCAAAACCCCAAAACCCCAAAACCCCGAAATATATAAATTGCGTTGAAGATTACAATTATAATTTTACGTTATTAGCAATATTTTATGAACATGCTTCACGGATATAATGTAAGTTATTATCTATTAGAAAGACAATTTTATGCATTTTAGGTCTTCCCAGCTATGGAGATGAAGGAAAGTCTCCCTCCTCTAAATCAGATATGCGTTTGGTATACTCAAACTGAAGAGATTCCATGTGCTAACCCGTTCACAATGCTAGCTGATTACTGAACTTGAGAATACGCCAACACTAGTTCTGGTAATTATATTTACTTTAAGAAACAAAATATGTCTTAATTTCATTTACTTGGTATAAGTGTTAGCCAAAATTATTGATCGGAATGTTAGTAGATGTCTGGTCCTAAAGTATAAAATCATCATCATCTTGTAAAATATGTGCAAAAAGATGCAAGCTTCTTTATCCAAACTTGAATATTAATATTTAATAGGATTTCCAAATCATGTAGAACATATGAATTGGGGCATGCCTTCTTCAAGAGATACTCAATATGGCAATCATCGAGCCATTTCAGCTCAGATTGGAGCATATAAGACAGACTCAAACTCTTATACAAACATCTATGCAAATAGAATGTGCAGGTTACAAGAGGTTCCAAATTCTTTCACTTCAAAAATTGAGAAATTCACACTTAAAAAGAGTCTACTTAAAAATTACAAGTGTAAAGTTGAGAAAAGAACCAACTTTAGGGGTTCTATTTCTACTGTTTATGTCTGCAAGTACGATAACTGTAATAAAGAGTTCACTCGCACCTGGAGCATCCTCGATCACGTTCGTATGCACGAAGGTGAAAAACCTTACCAGTGTCCATTTTGCAGCAGACAGTACACTCAGAAAGGCAACCTTGACAAGCACATGCTTTTGCACCAAAAACCTGAAGTAGAGGCAAGGAGAAGCCATCAATGACTACACTGAGCCAAATGGTACACAGAGAAATACAACCTCAAGGTGGGTATTCCGAGTTGTTACGAGATTATGAGAATCTTGGGTTTTTACAAACATTAATGTCTTGTCAATAACTCAATAATTATAGACTCACATCAGAAAATTTCATCCAGAAGAATACAAGAAGAAATATGGAGTGTACAAAAAGAGGCAGTCCTAATAATTTATCTTTCAACTTCATCTAACCCTCTCTTTCTTTCTCTTCAATTATTCTTTACATTGTGCATCCTCTTAGTATGGTTCTGGGAACAATATCATCTTAAAAGCTCTTTATTTTCCTCTTCTGTCTACTACCCACCCTCAGTTCTCTGTTGAGCTGTAGTTACTCACTAGCTGGGGGTTCAAAATGCTTCTCAGCTTTGTTGCTAAATTATAACCCGAGATTACTGAGCATGAAGGATTTTGAACATTAAAGTTAAGATTTGGATTTGTAGTGAGCTTTAGGAAGGCTCGTTACTTTTGTGGAAGAGTGGGGTTAAGGTGGGTTTTGAGAGAGAAGAGTGCTTTGAGAAGGGTGGTGAGAAGAGTACCTCCCTCCCCTCCCCTCTTCCAACCCCCCTCCCCCACCACAATTCCCAAACTTCTGCTCTAAGCCCCTCAAAACTCCTATCCTATCCTACTATCCACTCCAAAACCTTCCACCTAAAATCCCACTTCTTTAACATCATGAAGAAGCCCACTGGAAGAGATCAAGTGGGCTACAGTCAGGGGTTAAGGAAGTGAGAATTACTGGTGCGAGCAGAGGGCTGGTGGATGAGTGGGGTTTTAGGGTGAAGAGAGAGGATTGGGGGTGGAGGGTCGGAAGTGTAGGAAAGTGGTATGGGAGTGAAGTTTTGGGAATTTTTGGGGTCTTGGGAGGATTTTTATGTGCTCGTTTGACCTTCGATTGTGGTAAGGGTAAGGATATTTTTGAATGATTATTGGATCAGAGGTTAAATTGTTATGTTCGTGGCATATCAAAATGGTAATATTTTTATCTCCCTTCCATTGTTATAGTTCAGGTTATTATGTATAATACTGGATAAGGTCAAAGAGCATGTTTATAATTATTTAGTAAAATTATAGGTTGAAATAAAACTGTATAATAATGAGTATTATTACTCAAAATTTACCAGAAAGAACATCCGATTGAATCAAATAATTTTCAAATGTAAGTTTAGAGCTATATCGTAAATTCTTGATTTATCGGCTGTAAAGAGATGCCTTAATAGTTTATAAATAGAGTAATAATACAAATATTACCGATAATATTGATGAGAATCTTTTACATAGCATTTGGGGGTTGAAGGTTTTTACACGTTATTTGAAATATATCATTTATGGGCATGCATCTCTTCTTGAGATTTCACTGTTTGCTCTACTTCAGAATGTATAAAATATTCAGTTATTAGTCATTGAGGAGCGGATGCTGCATTTAACTCTCATGCATCAACTTTTGAAATTATCACACATTATTATAAAATTCATTGATCAATTGGCTTTCTTCTTATTGGGAATTTGTTTCATGTCATTTCTCATTCGATACTTGAGTTCTTGTTTTCATTCTTGGGCCAATGCTTAAGATAAGATGCTAGATCTATCAGCTTAAGCTAAATTAAGCGACTGGAAGTCCTCCTCAAGATCATATTGATTGCTTTCAAGCCTGTATGCTTTGTCCATTTCATTAACATTTTCTGATATTATTCTCTAAAACTTGTTCATAAAATCCTTCTTTTATTGTTAACAGTCAGTATGTAATTCATGAGCTAGAGAACTCCTTAGCAGGCTAAACAAAAGCTGAAGCTGATCTAGAGACTACCCCTAGGTAGCTCCAAAGAAGGCCCGATGCTAAGCGAAGTAAGAATTTTGGATTCCTTGACCTAAGAATAAACCGGCTTTTTGCGATAAATCTCTTTTTAATTTACTGACTCAATCTAGGCTTCATGCCTTCAGAAGTGCCAGAGAGACTTCCTGTGTGACAAAGAGAACTTATCAGCTGAAACAACTGAAGGAGAAGTTATGACCAAAGCTTGCTTCGGCCAGAGAAGATTCCTTGGTTCATGAATCTGTTGTAATAACGGAAGAAGAGAATATATTTATGGAAGGGATCAAACCATGAGCTAGTTATATGACCAATGTTAAAGAAGAGTTTTAACAATCGACAGTAAAGATAAGAGTCTTGGAATAGGTACTTGGTAAAGTTTACTCAAAAAGTATGAGTTTACCGCTCTATATTACAGTCTTACTATATAATGGTAAAATTTTAGCAAGAGTTTACACCAATTTAGTGAATGATGACAATGACCCATCCTTACTTTTAAATAAGCTTCGGGAGACTTTGCACATACTTCATAGACAAAGCAGACAAATCTTCTAAAACTTTAAGTATCTACTTCTCTCACGTCAATTCTTCCCTTACAGTTTCACCGAATGAAAGATCCAGTTAAAAACCCTCAGCATCCCCAAAACATCCATCTCTGAAATCATAGGCACTCCAAAAACCCTTCGTTCATCTTCCATGCCCAATCTCTTCTTCCACCAGGCTCCTACACCTGAATTAGATTTAATACATCTCTAAGATGCCTCCTTGGCTGTTTTTTGGGTATTTCGAGATTCCTTAATTTCACCTAATTCTCATGCTAAATGTTGATTACTAATAGTACCAGTGACGTCACTTGTTTGGGGTTTTGGGGTTTTGGGGTTTTGGGG